CCCTCGGATCTAGATGAGGAGGGCAGCAAGACCAGGTTATGGAGAGCATTCGAGGAGGCTGCAGAAGCTGGGGTGGTTGAGGTCACAGGGCTGGGGGTTTCTTGGAGCTTTCATCTGTGTGGGGTCCTCCTCTCTGGCAGGTCAGTGACCCAAGTGTCTCAAGCCTTCCACGCCCAGCCTGTGTGGCAATGCCTAGGGAGGTTTTCCTGCTCCCTGCCCACCCTCCTGCAACCACTGTCATCGCAGCCTGGCACAGGCTAGACCTGGGCAGCAGCTGCAGCAAGCAAAGAGCAGGGAGTGTGCTTTGTGGGGGCTGCCCTTGGCATCCTCATCTACAGTGTGAAGGACCCTGAGGCGCACAACCCCAGAGCCTGCCTGGCGCTTACTTTTTCTCAGCACGGGGCTACAGCACCTTAGGCCAGAGCCTCAGCCTGCCCTTCTCCCTCCATTTCTACCTGGCGTTTTATAATAATAGAAACATCATGAGGGCAGGGCAAAGCTGGGGCAGAGCCAACAAGCAAAGGCTTCTGAGTCCAACAGCAGACAGAGTAAGCATCTGAACTGCTTTTCATGCGGTGGCCATGTGGCTCAGGACTTCGGGTAAGAGCACAGGGGAAGACCAGCTGACTCAGCAACAGGAGCTTAGATGCTAATGTGTCTCTGCTTGGGGACGGACCTGCACCCCTCGTGTCGGGGCACAGTGAGAAGAGCAAAGGCACCATGTGAAGCCAGATGTGCCCACTCCAGGCTCGGTAAATACCACCCAAAGCCAAAGCCATGAGTCCAGGTGACAGCCCTTGGTGCCTACTGAGACAGACACCCAAGGAGCAGCTGGAGCTGGGGACTCAGCCCTGCCCTGGTGGGCTCAGGAGCCTCACCGGCTGCTCAATGACCCTCAGCACGGTCCGCTTGATGTCGGCGATGGCCTCAGTGTACACGGCTGCCAGCTCGTGGATCAGCTTGTGGTTCTGAGGCAGGAGAGCCAGATAGAGATACAGACACTGCTTCACTGTCTCCTCCGTCCAGGGTGCAGCCACCTCTGACAGGACAAAGCCATGCATCAATAAAGTCCTATATTTCCTTCCCAAAGCCCTGTCCCCAGTGTCCGTGCCTTCTCAATGAAGTCAATGGGAAGAGGGTAGGTTGATTAGGAAAAGGACTCCCCCCGCCAACCACCAAGGCCCAAGGCAGCTAGAAAAGTTTTAACTCTGTATCCTCCAAGTCCTGTGACAATTATGGCCTCAACATAAATGTCCTCACACTGGCTATCTGTCAAAGACCGAAGGGTCAGTCCACCTGGCGACCCCGCTACTCTCCACACTGGTCCCTACTTACATAGTTGGTAGACAGACCCTCACTGCTAACCCTCTGTGCCACCGCCTCCTTTGTAGGGAACCCGCTCACATGCTCCCTGGGAGGGCTTTCCACATGCCTGCACGATCTGTCTGTAATCTGGTAGGAGCTGGGACTATGCTAAGGGCCTTGGCCTAAGACGGCCATGGAATACCACAGGCTGCTCTCCTGGTCCTCAGCTTCTCACTCCTGCAGTCACCTGTCTTGTCTTGGCCCTGCTTGCTACTATCCAGCAGCCATTCTAGCTGGCTGGGTAGAGCTCGACACAAATCAGATGAACCTGCATCAAACCTGTGTCCTTGTCAGCTCCGAAGAGCACTGAGGGTGGGTTGGGGTGGACCAGGAGCTGCAGGTAGTTGAGGGCGAATTTCTCCACATACTCTCGAAGCTGCTCCTTCTCATACATGCGCTTAATGAAGAGCAGAGCCTGGGAGCGCACCTGAGGGTAAAGCGGGCATGGCAACAGAGCTGCACTGCTCTAAAACAAGCGCAGCCTGAAGCCCAGGAAAGACAGCAGTGACGCGCATCTCCCATCTCAGTCCCATCTATCTTGCTAGGCCCTACCTTGTTCACTCTCCTCATTCCTCAACGGTGACTCTTCCTGACAAGTGGCCTTGGCTTTGGCACTTGGCAGGACAGGCAGCCCATTGCCCAGAACACATGTCACCGGCTAAGCCTCATTTCAGTCAGACACCATCTGCCACCCACGAGATCAGGGTCTGGTCGTCAGCATGTGTTTGTACCAAATGACAGCACAGGGCCAGGGCCAATGCTAATGGTGTGCTGTCTCATCAAGTAGGCTGGTGACAGGCTACGGGGAAACGGGTCCAGGGTCCTTCTCAGCTGTAGCAAGGTCTCATCTACAGTACAGCTACTAAGTGTTACGGTTATTCCACATCTCCTCCTCCTCGGGTGCTTCCCGACCCTCATCCCTTGTCTACAAATGTGGGTGCCTAGGTACTGTATACTGCAAATGCTCCCTGCGGTCACACAGGCTCCTCTACTGTCTCCAGGCTCCAGTTCATCAACACGCGTGAGAGGAGAGTGAACAGGTCTGCCCTCCTTTGAGGGCATGTACACACTCAGGGGCAGGATAGGACCTGACTCCATGGTGATGTCACACCATGGTAAATGGAAAACAGTTTTGAGGAAAAGGAACGCCAGGCTGGCCAGCTATGGCATGTGCTCACCCTGTCCTTCTCATGAGAGCTGAGGTCAAGGAGGACGTGCAGGTACTGGAACTGGCGAGAAGGGCGCTTGAAGATCAGGTCTCCCAGTGTCGACATGCCCAGGTAGGCGCGACTCTGCAGATGAGGGCGACGCTCAGCCTGCCTCCCTCCTGCCTGCCTCCCTCCTCTCAAACCAAGAGCCCAGGACCTGGCCCTCAGGCTGCCGCCCCTGCCTCTACACCTTCCTGCCTCAACTGCAACCTGCTCACCTCATCCTCACAATACTTCCGGATCACCTCCAAGGCACTCTCTGTGATCAGCGGGGCCTCCAAAACCACCTTGGTGAAGACCCTGCCCAAGACAGACACGTGTCTTGCTGGAGAAGTGCAGCAAGGTGGCCTGCGTCCCAGTGGCCCAACTGCACCCACGGCGTCTTCAGCCCCGGGTCCAGAGCCTCAGACTGGCACACATGGTTGGAAGATGCTCCCTCTCTGAGGCTTTGTTCCTTTTGCTACAACTAGGGATGGAACCCAGGGCTTCTTGTGTGCTAGGGATGTTCTCTACCACCGAGCCACCGTCCCATCCTGGGAACTGTTAGCACAGATGGGTGACAGGCCACCCAGACCAAGGAGCAGAGCTGTGAGTGAGCCTGATGAACATTACACAAAGCCCCACCCCCAACCCACCCTCGTCCCCTCACAGGGTGGTCTGCACAAGTTTCTGTAGGAACTGGAAAGGGAGGAAGAGAGGCACACAGGGAGAGCAAGTTTGGGTGGCTCTGAGGAAGAAGGGGACGGGGCTTACGGTCAAGCCCTCACCCATCCTTCTGGTCCGGTTTCTCCTGCAGGCCAGAGAGCAGGCGGATGAGGCAGTCCTCATACTTGTCCAGAGTGCCTGAAGCCCCGGCTGCTAGGTAGGCATTGTATTCCTGGTAGAGCCAGGCGAAAGCCAGGTCCAGGCGGCCCCGGACATCTTCCAGGATGAAGGACAGCACCTCTGCCTTGAGTCCAGAGTCGAACTGTGTTACCAGGCTGGCCAGAATCTTGATGCGCGCCTGGGGGTAGGTGAGCAAGTGTGTCAGTGTGGCCGAGCCGCTGGAGCGCCCTTCAATCATGCCTTGCACTTCTGCTGCAGGTTCAGGGACCCCCAGTATAAACACCGTTTGATGTGGGTACAGTGACTAACATCTACAATACTAGCACCCAGATTGCTCAAGGTCAAGGCCAGCCTGGTGAGAGTGAGACCTTATCTAGAAAACCAAACCACTCACTCCCTCAGCCAAGGAAGGCAGCATAAAGGGTAAACACAGCAGTGTAACACTGTGTGGCAGCAGATGAGGAAGAAACAAACCATCAGCTGTCACCAAACCACCCGAAGCTCCCAGGAGTCACTGAGTAGTAGCCAGGTACTTCAGTGTACAGGAAAAGATCCTGACGATTCTTATTGTCACCTCTAGGCATGGACAGGATGTGGGTGACAACCAAGAAAGAATACATGGTGTGTGTATCGTCCAGAACAATCTTTTGTGGAACTGGGGGTGAAAGCCATGGCCTTTGTTCATGCTAGGTGCAGAGACAAAAGTGTCCACATCAAACAATACACACACACACACACACACACACACACACTTAAAATGAAAGAAAAAGTCAGGCATGACGGCCCACGCCTTTAATCCCAGCACTTGGGAGGCAGAGGCAGGTGGATCTCTGGGAGTCTCCAAAATGAGTTTGAAGACAGCCAAAACCAACAAAACAAACAAAAACATCATAGAAAATAAAGGCTGGAAAGATGGTTCAATGGTCAAGACCACGGGCTGCTCTTGCAGAGGACTTGAGTTTGGTTTCCTGCACCCACGTGGTGATCCACAACTCCCTGTAACTACAGTTCCACGGAATCTGGTGCCCCCTTCTGGCCTCTGAGGGCTCCTGCACACACATAGTACACATAAACTCATGCAGACAAACATACACATAAATTAAACAAAGAAATTTTTTACAAAATCACTGCTAAGAACCAGTCCTGCAGGTCCAGCCCCATGCAGAGCCCCAATAAGCCTTCAGTGTCTGAAGGCTGCTGCTCTGCTCTGCTCGTGCAGAGGGTGGGTTCAAGCCAGGAGGAGTGGCTCTGAGTAGAGCTGGGGGCTGGAGGCACAGGGACTGTTGACTAAACCAAGGGGCACACCTGGGCTGCCCCACTGCAGGCTACAGCCTTCTCCGCCCTCAGGATGCGCTTGACGGCTCCCAGCTTCATGGCTTCCACCTGGG